TTCTATCATGAGTCAATGTTAGGTGGTCATTTGGGATGTAGAAAAACAATTGATAAGATTCAACAGTTGTTTACCTTTAAAAATTTAGTTGCAGAAGTGCGTGAATTAGTTAAAGCATGCCACTTGTGTGCAATTAGCAAACCAAACTTGAAACAACAAGTTGGTCATTTGTCTAGTGACGTTGCCTCTTCTCCTATGGAGAAAGTTTACGTTGATTTTGTAGGCCCACTTGTTCGCTCTACTCGCGGAAACTGTTATGTAATCGTAATGACTGATGCATTTACTAAATTTTCTTGGATTTCTGCAACAAAATCATCTACTAGCGACGTTGTTATCAAAGAAATGGATCAAATTTTTAAATATTTTAGTCTTCCTCGTTCTGTAGTGAGCGATAACGCCAAATGCTTTCGTTCTAATAAAGTAAAACGTTGGTTATTTAACCGTGGAATCCAAGCGATTTCAACATCACCTTATTATCCTAAGCCAAATCTGGCAGAAAGAGTTAATCGAAATCTAAAGAGCGCATTAATCGCGTACCATTCAAATTCCCAGAACCGATGGGATGAGGGCTTAGACTGGTTAGTCCAAGCTTTCAATTATGCTAGACACGAAGCGCATCAGTTCACACCACACGACCTCATGTTCACTTTTCAGCCAAATACGCCTTTAGCCCTTCAATGGCATATAAATGACCTTTTACCAGAAGATCCCAAAAACGTCCAAGAGAATTGGGATAAAGCAAAGAAAAATTTGCAAGCGGCCTATAACCGCCGTAAAAAGCGATTCGATCGTGGTCGAGCAGATCACTCATTCAGAACTGGAGATCTGGTGTATTGGAAAACTCATCATTTGAGTAGTAAAATCAATAAGAAAATGGCCAAATTATCACCTCGTTTTGAAGGCCCTTACCAAATCATGAGATTTACCTCTCCTGTCTCCGTTCTGTTGTCTGATCCGTCCGACGGCAAGATTGTAGTTAAGCGTGCTCACATCACGCAGCTTAAGAAGTTCCTTCCCAAAGCTTCTGATCCTGAGACCAATACCAAGGTAAACAAGCAGTCCTGAGTTAATAAGTGATTATAAGATGAGTGTCTTTACCGAAATTTCCGGCATTTCCAAACTGAGTGTGTTTTCACTGAATTTTTGTTGTTGTAGAAGGTCAATTGAAATTGACTATATGATCTGTAATTTGTGATTTGTAATGAGTAAGTGAGCTCAATTAGTAATGTCCTGTGAGTTGATTTAATTTTTTTTCTTTCATTTTGATCATGAATCAATGGGATGAAGTTGTATGCCCCACCAAATTTTTTTTTTTTTTTTCTTGGTGACTGTGTCACTTTCACTTTGTGTGAATTTCGCTTAATTCGCTTAAGCTTATCTTTGAGTTTCTACCATTTTATTTTGTTAAACCCAATTGTGTCAATTTATTTTCTAATCAGTTTGGCCCTTGGTTTTGGTTTCCCAAAAGACCGGCTGATTACAAAATATAACTTTTTTTGCAGTAGGTAAATTATGAAATTAGCCAATCTTTGGCCAGAGAAGGCTATTTCAATTCTTGTCATAGCTTGTTAAACACCTTTCTGCAATTTTCTCGGAACGGACTGATCCCCCCTCACTGTGATATTAATTGTAAGCATCCCCTCCCCTTTAGTTAGTAATTTAAAACCCTGATTATGACCTATCACAAAAATTTTGTACCCTACCGAGTATGGGCCGGTAGTGAGTATAAAAAAAAAACTTCGATTGAGACTTTTACAGAATACCTTTATCCTAGGCCTGAATAGGTATTCTGCGCCTTTTTCTCTTTTATTTCATCCTTTTGTATAATTTTTTATAATTTGTCTTAAACTTTTTCATTTATCTTACAACTGACAGGCACAGAACAAAAATGTGATTTACTGCTATTGTGTATTGAGGCTATTGAGTTAAACTCAACCTTTTTGTCTTGAATCGTAAATGTAAAGTAGTAATGAAATGTATGTTTTCTCTCTCCCATTTGCAAAAATTTTCTGTTGGTAACCGAAAAGGACACTCTGAGTAAAGATTGTAAGAGTGGTACCGTAAGGACCGAATTCTCCTTTTGAAAGTTTTTAATTGCAAGTTTAGTTGTTCGATAATAGGCTTGCTTCTAGATGTTAATTCTTGTTGCCTTTTTGGAGAGAGAGACAGAGAAAAACCATTCCCGTTGCTGAATATATAAATTGTAATTATTGGATTGTAAGAGTAATTGCTTAATTTTTCTAATTTTTTCCTCCTTCAAAAAATGATCCCATTTTTCCAAAAATGTAGTTCCGTTTTCCCAAATTGAGTACTCGCTTAATTTTAAGAAATTTTTTTTAAAATCGATACCATTTTTTCCAAAATTTCAAAATTATTCCCGAATTTCCAAATTTTTCCAAAATTTTTTTTTATTAATGATAACCAAGTTTCCTATGCTCTGCCTAATTAAACAAAAATATTTTCTGTTACTAACCAAAAAGGACACTCTGAGTAAAGATTGTAGGAGTGGTACCGTAAGGTTAGAATTGTTTATTTTGAATTTTTTTTGGCAAGTTTAGTAGTTCAATAATAAACTTGCTTCTGTATAAATTTTCTACCCAGCCAGAGCTAAGGAAAAAACCTAATAACTATAGCTGTAATTTTGTAATGACTGTAGTTCAATGATATGTGTATCTATCTTAAATGGAAAATTTGAAGTAATTAGTAACAATTCTTGTGTTGGAATTATCTAAGTTGCCCTTTCAGTTGATTCTCTGATGAATGTTCTTGCCTACACTAAGTTATCTGAAGAGAACTTGATTCTCCTTTTTGCCTCTAATAATGTTGAGATACAGTTGTGCTAATTTCTCCTAACATGTAGCCTCTCCCCTTGAGTTTCTCTTGGGCATGCTACCTCTGTTACTTTAACAAACTGTTTTCTTTGCTAGTCTGCACTTGTTTTCGGTGTTCGGTTGACTTTCACTGAACATGTTGCCTCTCCCCTCGAGTTGATCTTGGGCATGCAACCTCTGTTCACGTAGTGAACTTCACCATTTTTTATTCTTAAAGGGATTCACTTGTCCTCCGGCCTGGTACCCCCGGTGTTGACATCTGATTTGTGATCTCCTCGTAATAGAAAAAGCCTCTCCCCGACGCTTCAGCTCGGGCAAGCTTTAAACACCATCTTTGCATTGTGCATTCTCCTTAGTGCTGACCTTCTTTTGCTGTCATTGAATCGTAATCCTTTTCCACCCAGATAACGAAGTGTATGCAAAACCTACATCTTATTTTCGCCCTTCGTCATATTTTTGCCCAGTATTAAGAGATTTAATCTCTCTGGTATTTCTTGTGATTGTATGCGTCATTCTTTTTTCGTTCTCGTAGTGTAGCGTTAAAGACGGAACTTTAACTATTTGTAAAATTTGTAAAATTTCGTAATTTTGTAAAATTTCGTGTATAAATTCGTCGTGTAAAATTTTGTAAACGCAGACTTTTGTGGATGTACTTTAATTTTTGAATACACTTGTAATACTTCGTAGAAGTTTGATAAATCCTCAATTCATTCTTTGTCAACATCATTATCATATATAATGGTCAACATCATTACTGTATTAACTTCATAACAAATTAGGAATAGATTACCAGATTTGTATTACTTAGTTGAAATTTGATCAACTTTAATTCCTTTTTTCGCCAATATCATCACGGATTCCTTACTTATGAATCTTATTACCTATGAGTCATTACTTATTCGTACTGATTGTGAATTCCTATGTTGTTAAATCGTCAATTGTCAATTGTAAAATTGTCATAGAAACTTGATTTGATTTGTGATTTGAAATTGAAATTGAATGTAATCTTGAATTTGAAAATTGTCAGTAATTTCTTGAGATTGTCTACTTCTGATATTGTGCCCTTCCGGCGAAACTGTTCGCTTTTCCTTTTTGGACCCTTGGTCCCTTTTAGGAGGGGGAGGATTGTGACGGTCTGCAGCGGTCATTCATATTCTCGCGGGGATATGCTTGGCCGTTGCATAACACTCCCCTCCCCTGGCCTTGGTTCTCGACCAGTGACCGCGGCTACCCGCCATCTTGAGCCTCAGTCTTCGCTTGCTTCTCCGCGTCACTGGCCGTCGATCAAGGTTCCCTTCCTACCCGTGTGTTTCGTTAGCCATCTTTACCTCGTGTCGAGTTTTCTTTCTTGTATTTTGAGCTGTGCCTTTTCACTGTTTTTATTCCTCAATAAACCGTTGATTTTTCTTTCGTACTCGCTCGTCTCGTTCTTGTGTTACGTCTCCTCACCGACCGACCCTCTGAGGTGAGGCTTGCCTCGCGCACCTCATATTAGCCTAGTCAGCCGCCCTTTCCGTCTCACTTTAACTCAGGAACATCCTCCAAGTTTCAAATCCTTACCCTAATTAGGTAAAAAGTTAGAAAGGGTGGAAGTGACTTTTGGATCACCCTGTATAGTATAATAACACTAGAAATAATATAAAACAACAACAACAACAACAATAGAGACTTTTGAATTAGTTAATGTAAACAGGTTGGAGATCAAATTCGTGGGGAAATGGTTTCTTACATAAATTCTCATGTAGAATATCGAGGGGATTCCAATAGGGCCTTATTCAGAATTTTATTGAATTTTCTGGGGCTCTCATTTTTCAGGTCAAGTCAAAGCGACCCGGAGAGATTGTTTAGCAGGCTCAGAGATATGCCTCCTAAGGCTGGCTTGCCTTTTTTTCTGTGGTTTTGACTGCTCGGTGGAAACTGTGTCTAGTATTACATATAACTATGCCCTGGATTCATGTCCTCTCTTGGCTCAAGTATCCAAGTCTCAAGGCTGCTTTTATTACTTCTTAGATGTATGCATTTGTATCTGTCAAAACTCTCAGCTTTTTAAACAACTCTCTAGATGAGTAATTTCAGGGTTTTCTGTCAATGATGCGCAAAGCCCTGTTTTGTAATAGCACCTTGAACTCAAAGCTAATTTTCTAATGCGATCTTTTGTGCTCTATCCAGATAAAAAAACCGAAGCACAGCTACAAATTACCCCCTGAGGATATGACGTCTGTTGGACTGAGTATTTATACAGACTTTTTTCTATTCATCGCTAACACCTCAGCAACACAAATAAATATTCTGTCCACCAAGCTTTTGGAAAGTGATCGATCTCAAGTAAGTGTAATTCAATTTTGCCCTCTTAATTTGGAGCAACTTTACTAAGAAGGGATACTCAGTAATAGAATACTGAAAGGAGCAAATTTGTAAAAATGCTTTGTTGTTGGGAAATTTAATGGTAATCTATTTACTGACTTGGTTAAAATAAGTGCAATGAAAAGAGCAGAGGAGTGGCATGAGTTTTTGATTTGTTTAAAAAAATCCGGTAAAATTATGTAATGTTTTATTCCTTCTAAGGAGTCAACAAGAAAAAATTAACGTTTTTCGCGGATATCCTCTTAATATGTAATATGTATAATTTTAGAACTTTCCAAGGAGTACAGCACATTACCTGATGGTAATTTTCTGCTTGTCTGAACAGAAAGTAATGTCATCTCATCTCATTCAACAAATTTTAAACTATACATATTATTTGTTCTAGGAGTACAACCTACAGAGTTTTGTCCAAAAAGTTCAACTAGAGGATGACGAACGCATCCAGGCATTGTATCGGATGTCATGTTTTAATTGCGTAGAAAAGAAACGACCTTTCAGCCCTGTTATTTTTACCAAATCGTTGCCCATCTCAACAAAAGACTTTTTACCAAGCATTAATCTTTCATCATCCAACCAAACCAGTGACACTACTAGCAATCCTGTAATCACCCCAGCTGCCTTTGAGACTTGCTTAATAATATCAAATAAATCTGTCTACATTTTAAATCTCAAGTAAGTAAATGTGTAGTGTAAACTACCAAAAACCCTCCAAAATATTTGATGTGTTACACCTTCAGCAAAAACATTCCCTTTCACCCCTCCAAGAAGGTTGATAAAACTAACTATAAGATAGGCAAAAACCTCTCTCAAATTCTCAGGGTCCACCAAGACCAAATATGTCCAAATCCTTTCTGTATGGTTCAACAAAAAAATAAGAAAAAAATTAGATAATCTCTAAACAATCGGCAATTTTAAAAAAAAATCGAAAAACCGATTTTGTGGTTCATAAATATGTAGGTACCTAAATCTCTCGAATGACCCTGAAATCACAAAATCGGTCGAGAATATCTAATGAATTTTCCCCTTCAATCATGAGTTCCGCAACAAGCACGACTCGCTCGGCCGTTTCGATACACGAGCCGCACGAAACTGATTTCTTCTTACCTACTGATTGTGAGGAAAGTGGGAGAATTTATTTTTTCCATCTTATATACGGGATGCAACAAGCGTGACTCTTGAATTTGCAGAAATCCTTTTATCAAGGAGATCGCGAGAGCCTATACCGCATTCATTTCCAAAAGGGATTACTCCAGAATTTCTTGCATTTTAATACTTAATTTAAACGATTCGTTTGTTCTTCTCTCCTCCTTCTCTGTCCATTGACAGAGGTACAAAATTTTTCGGACTCACTGACGCGACCTGTTCAATGCTCTCAGTGAATCGGTGCCTTGTTATCCCTGATGTTGCCTTCAGTTTTACCAGTTGACCCATATTACCGCAACTAGGTACATGTCAAACTCTTTCAATTAACTTTGCTGCGTCAAAATCATGGATATCGTTTTTATAGTAAGCTTACCATATGATTTGGATGCTGAGTAGGCTAAAAGTTTTCGTTAATTTTTCCTTTTTTACATCTTAACGGCATGTGTCCCATTGAACACGGGGTTATTTAACAAATTTAAATTAAGTCTCGATATAATGAAACTCACACCCATGCTGTGATGTCGGTGTTATTCTCTGAAATTTTTATTTTTTTATCTTAGTAATCCACACTTGTTTACGAGCGATTAATCGTTTAAATTTAGTATTGAACTGCAAGGAATTTTGGAGTAATCCCTTTCGGAAATGAACGCTGTATACAGACAGGGTTATTCAAAAGTTACGCACCACTGGCCATAACTTTAGTTCTAATTATGATATCGATTTGCGGTTTGTGGCTTCCTTCCTCATTTTGAGGGGGAAACTTTTTGAGGTACTTTCCAGCTCTTACTTTTCAGTTTCCTTTTCCAGGTAGGGGGGCGGGGGGCAACTCGAAAATTTGAAATGGCAACCCCCATCATGTGATACATCGTTAGAAAGAGCATGAAAAAAGAAAATTTTTGGCGCAAACCAGAAGTCAATCTGACCCCCCTATTAAAAGTTAGGGGGGTCCGAAGGTTATTTAGGGGGTCCGTACCTTCATTTTTTATAGTAGCTTCGGCGGCTCTTGTACATATCGTTTTTCTTTTCAAAGAGTCCTCAAATACTCCAAGTCTAATACAGGAGTCTTCATATTGCCCCCGGGCCACCACAGCTCCCCCGTAGGGGGGGGGGTGGGCCTGTTACAATGAAACATTGCATTAAAATACGAAAAGTCACAGAAGAGCTTCAAACTTGGCATCAAGTCCGAGTGGAACTTCTTGCCAATGTTAACGCAAATGCAGCCTGCGACTTGAAAGTGAGTTTTCAAAACTCTTAGGCCCCTGCCCCCCTCATTTTTGGTTGCAGTGCGGGTAAAAACCGGGAAATTCACTACAAATAATGCCTGAAACTATTGTCCAACTTGAGGAGGACCCTTGAAACGTTGCGATCAGTCGGAGCATTGAAAAACAGGGACTGCCACCCCCTTCAAGTACGGAAACATCCAAAACACCCCCGCTGCCCCCCTCATTTTTGGTTGCAGAGCGGGTAAAAGCCGGGAAATTCACTAAAAATAATGCCCGAAACTACTGTCCAACTCGAGGAGGACCCTTGAAACGTTGCAACCACTCGGAGCATTGAAATACAGGGGTTTTCCCCGGTTTTTAATCGCTCCGCTCCGCTCACTTTGAGGATGGAAACATCCATAAAACCCTTCGCTGCCCCCCTCATTTTTTGGTGCGGAGCAGTTAAAAACCGGGGAAAAACCCTGTATTTCAATGCTCCGACTGGTCGCAACGTTTCAAGGGTCCTTGTCAAGTTAGACAGTAGATTCGGGCATCATTTCTGGCGAATTTCCCGGTTCTTACCAGCTCCGCAACGAAAAATGAGGGGGGCAGCGAGGGTTTTATGGATGTTTCCATCCTTGAAGTGCGCGGCAGTTACTGTTTTTCAATGCTCCGACTGGCTGCAACGTTTCAAGGGTCCTCCTCAAGTTGGACAGTAGTTTCGGGCATTATTTTTAGTGAATTTCCCGGTTTTTACCCGCTCTGCAACCAAAAATGAGGGGGGCAGCGGGGGTGTTTTGGATGTTTCCGTACTTGAAGGGGGTGGCAGTCCCTGTTTTTCAATGCTCCGACTGATCGCAACGTTTCAAGGGTCCTCCTCAAGTTGGACAATAGTTTCAGGCATTATTTGTAGTGAATTTCCCGGTTTTTACCCGCACTGCAACCAAAAATGAGGGGGGCAGGGGCCTAAGAGTTTTGAAAACTCACTTTCAAGTCGCAGGCTGCGTTTGCGTTAACATTGGCAAGAAGTTCCACTCGGACTTGATGCCAAGTTTGAAGCTCTTCTGTGACTTTTCGTATTTTAATGCAATGTTTCATTGTAACAGGCCCACCCCCCCCCCTACGGGGGAGCTGTGGTGGCCCGGGGGCAATATGAAGACTCCTGTATTAGACTTGGAGTATTTGAGGACTCTTTGAAAAGAGAAACGGTATGTCCAAGAGCCGCCGAAGCTACTATAAAAAATGAAGGTACGGACCCCCCAAATAACCTTCGGACCCCCCTAACTTTTGATAGGGGGGTCAGATTGACTTCTGGTTTGCGCCAAAAATTTTCTTTTTTCATGTTCTTTCTAACGATGTATCACATGATGGGGGTTGCCATTTGAAATTTTCGAGTTGCCCCCCGCCCCCCTACCTGGGAAAGGAAACTGAAAAGTAAGAGCTGGAAAGTACCTCAAAAAGTTTCCCCCTCGAAATGAGGAAGGAAGCCACAAACCGCAAATCGATATCATAATTAGAACTAAAGTTATGGCCAGTGGTGCGTAACTTTTGAATAACCCTGTATGTTCAGTGGGGGACTGATTTTTATTTCATTTTTTCATTGCAACTGCTGCAACGTTTTTCTCGCTCAACGCGAGGGGCCGCGCGGCTGCGTGTGCTTCTCCCCTCACTCCGTCCGAAGCGTTGAAACCGGCTGAAGCAGCGTTGAAACCGGCTGAAGCGGCGTGGAAACCGGCTGAAGCGCTGTGCTCGCGCGTTGCGCCGTGAAATGGCTCGCCGTTTTCCGCGGTATTTTAGCATTTTCTTTTCTTCACTTTTCTTTTATTTTTTTGGGGCCCTTGCCCGAACAGTATAGGCTCTCACGATCTTCTTAATAAAAGGGTTTCTGCAAACGCAAGAGTCACGCTTGTTGCATCCTGTATATATGGAGGAAAAAGTAAATTCTCCAACTCTCCTCACAATCAGTAGGTAAGAAAAAATCAGTTTCGTGCGGCTCGCGTATGGAAAAAAGGCCGAGTGAGTCGTGCTTGTTGCGGAACTCATAGTTGAAGGGGAAAATTCATTAGTTATTCTCGAACGATTTTGTGATTTCAAGGTCATTCGAGAGATTTAGGTACCTACATACTTATGAACCACAAAATCGGTTTTTCGATTTTTTTTTTCTTTTTTAAATTTCTGATTGTTAAGAGATTATCTAATTTTGTTCTTATTTTTTTTTTAACCAGAGAGTAAGTTTTAGGACATATGTGGTCTTGGTGGACATTGAGAGTTTGAGAGAGGTTTTTGTCCATCTTAAAGTTAGTTTTATCAACCTTCTTGGAGGGATGAAGGGGAATGTTTTTGCTGAAGATGTAACACATCAATTTCCTCGACCGGATTTTTTACCTGAAAATATTTTGGAGGGTTTTTGGTAGTTTAAATCAGCTCGTTTTTGGTGTGGCTGTAAAATATTATGTAGGCAATCCTGAATGAATGGAAAGTAAACAAGTTGTTACATCTGCCAAAGCACCTACACATTCAGCGAAAATTTTAATAGCACCCACTGACTAGTGGTCAGTCTGGAAATAGGTGGTTGAATGTTGCGGAGCTATACCTTAGGTAGTCAAATGCATCTGTACCTATTGGAAAGGCTCATAGGAAAAACGTGACAGGGGAGGTGGAGGGGATGAAAAGTTATCAAGTTGTCGCATTGCACTAATTAGGTAAATTGAATTTTCAAGTATGATTTAGAATTCATACAATTTTCCACCAAAAGTAGGTACATCGACCGTTTGATCCTCAGATTCTCAGATTTTTTGTGGTTTTCCCAAGGGCTATGTGACTGAACATTAGATACCAATATTGAAGGATGAACTAACTGTGGGATACTCCCAAGGGAGCTTCCAAGAGGCTCAATATTTACAAGGGTAAAGTGGGGTGAATCGTGGTTATTGAGTGTTACCCACGCATATGTACGTACTATTAAATTTCCAAGATTTAATATTAAGTCCTACGTTAAACTTGAGTGATTCAGGTACCTGATATTCGACTATAGTTCAACCTCAAAATACAGTTACGGATCTGAGGAAATTAATTGAAAAAGATTTTAACTTACTGTTATAGGCATTGCACTGTAAGCTTACTCCAAGAGGTAAAATAATTTTGCTCATTTGTTTCAACTACCTACATCGTCCCTCTTAAATGCACCAATATTTGTATTAATGCTAGCGGCAAGTTCTTCGATACTGAATTTCATCACTCAGCAACCTTTCAGATGACAATGAAAATTGATGAGATCGTTGCTTTAAGTCATAGGTACTCTGTATGGAATGATGAGTTATTCATGAACCAACAGTGAATGAAGGAATCTAGCACAAATGTTACCAAAATTGGTCTACCTGGTGTGGCATGACTTTAAACTAGCTATTTTGATGACGTTTGGGATTATTATTTTTTAGAGCATCCAAGCATCCAAACTTTTTTCCTACAGACTTTACATTATACTCTAAGGAGCATTGTAAAGAAAAAGTTGTCGATGAATGCAATGACATGAGAAATATGTTCATCTCCGCTGAGCACTTAATTTCTCATTGAAAATTGGGCAATAGGGCTCTATTTCAGCACCTCTGTAGCAAGTACAATCTTAAATCACATTTACCTTAAGACTATACTCTAAGATCAGTTAATCCTTACAATGCCTTTATGATCCACATAACTTATTTTTCAAGAGCTCAAATTTTTTATTCTATGCTTTACGGAAGGTCTCTCAAAGATACCAATCCCTGAAAAGTGATACAACTGACTTACTCATCGCATGTTTTCTCAATTAATAAGTAAGTAAAGAGCTATATGCATCTCTCATAAGAATTAGGCCCAGAACGGAATCTTGTCATACCTTCACCTTTTGTAAAGGAAGGTTAGAGAAGTTATAAAATGGCGGACTTTTTGATCCAGCACCCCGGGGCGGGGGGGATCAAAGAAAAATCAACTTTTAGCCATAACTTTTGAATGGTTGTTGATATCGAATTGAACTTTTTTTAAATGAAAGAACATAAAAAGACCTTTCTATCGAGTGTAAGAAATTGACAATCGATTAATTTTTGACAAAATTATGGCTCATCGAATTTTTTTAAAAACTTTAATTTTGGATTTTTTAATTTTTCGACGTGAGGAGTTACACAAACCGTTATTAATATGTGTGCAGAAGATAGTCCTTGTTTTTTTCTTTAAAATGAGCTAAATGAGATGTTGAGGAAATGATTAGTCTTGGAGTTACGCTGTTTCAAAGTTGACGCAACAGGGTTCGTACATGGGCCTCGGGCCAGAGTCTCGCAGCTGCGCCCGGGAGCAGCCTGTTTCATGCTGATCTCCGTAATTTTTTAATATTTAACAGCATTTAGACCATTCAGTAAGCATACATATGAGGATGAATATGCCATACGTTATTTCCCTTCCCCCTCTTTTTATTTCATCCAAAGTCTAAAGACATGTCTTGAAAGAATGGGAGCTTTTACGAAAAGAGGAGCTTTAACATTAATTTTATATTTTATTGTCATGCTTGTCTTTTACTGATTATTGTCTTTTTTTCTGGTGCTAAGAATTATTTTTTGTCACTAAATAGTGATCATATGCATCGTATTACCAAATCACAGATACCATTCAAGACAAAAGTAACAAGCATGCCAATTTAGTGGCTTATACAGGGAGGCGGGGCATGGTGGCAACCTCCCCTCCCCCCTTGGACCAAAAAAGGGGGAAAAGAAAGGAAAAAGAAGGAAAGGGGAAAGAAGGAGAGAAAGAAAGTGCTCTTGAAAATTTAATCTTAAATCTTGAAATAATGTCGAAACAGAACCTCAGAACTATTTAACAAAGTTTACTAAACCAAAGGTTACTCAACTTCGCAGAAATTGATAGGCCATATCCCAAAACAAAATTTCTCTACAAGAGGTAGTATTTATTTGTCAATCTTCAAATTTCAAATAATGCACAGGTTGCATACTGAAACTGCTTAAAAATCAATCTGGGAGGGGCTATTTTTTTAAACATTTTCTGTGGGAGACCCCCCTAAGTCTAGGGGTTTCCCTCCAGACCCCTCACTCGACATAAGCAAAATCCTCCTCCCTCCAACTGACTCTGGATCCGCCGCTGTGCCAATCACCAGTGCGAGGTTTCCAAATTCCAGATTGGTTTAGATGAAGGGAAATAACGTATGGCATATTCATCTTTCTATGTAAACTTACTAAAAAATTATAGCTAAAATTTTTAACTATGTAAGCCGATGCTAAATTATCCGTGCAATAAAGCCCTATGAAATGTGGTAGAAATGAAATCCTCATATCCTCAACCTTGATCCTTTGTAGGTTCCATTGGAATCGGTCACCGTCTAAGCTAGGGATCTGTTGTGAAAGGTGGTCATGACGGGGAGGTTGGCAGTTGGTTTAGTCGTATTTTAGGTAACTTCTTTTCTAAAATATTTGAAATGTCAAAATAAAGTTAAAAGCGGCACACACGGTAACATGACGACTCTGTAGGTACCCACTTTTTGGGTCTAGGGTTTACCATTATCCCGGAATCGGAGTAACTTTTTCAGAGCCCCGATTTCAAACTGCCCTGCCAAACGGCCCCAAAGTAAAATTTTCGTCGTTTTGGGTCCTTAAATGCTTATAACTTTTTGAAAACTCGATGAATTTAAATGAAACTCTTCCACTTAGTAGTTCTAATTGAGATGCGTCCGTAAACACCGAGATCGTAGGAATCCGTGCTGTCATTTTGGCTGCAGTTGAGAGGAAAGCGAATCAATTTTCAGATTAAGGGAGTTAAATGTGACTAAGATTGTCGGCCACCACTTTGCTATTGGGACTTCAGTACTACGTCATTTTCTTCTACCGGGGGTGGCTACCACCACTCTTTATGAATTTATTTCAAATGCCTCTGAATGCACCCGTTTGGGTGAGTGGGACTGTGCACACCCAGAGGAATCAAGCAAAACTAATATTTTATATTTAAATGAGGAATTCATTGGATTATTTGGTTTTCTCAGAAACAAACTCCTTTTTGGTGACAAAGGGCGTTAAAAGTTGGCGTTCTTTCCAATTTTTCTGGGTAACTGTCACTGGAATTTTCGTCTTGTACTTTTCTGAGGAGCAACTCACATGAACTCAGGCAATTTTTTTACCGAACACTTGCTCCCGGACTACACACTAGCATGGCACTTCCATACAACTTATTCACCCGCGCCTTAAGTCTTTTCTTTGTATATTTGTGATTTATATGACCCTTGCAGGATTTTTTACGCAGCAGAGAATTGGGATTTTGGGAGTGCTCTGGGATCAGAGCATCTCAAAGGCAAACAAGCACCGGATATATGACGCCATCGTTAAAAGTATCGTGCTCTATGGTAGTGAAGTGTGGCCTTTGACGAAAAGAACGCAAGAAATGTTGAGGGCAACTGAAATGGATTTTTGGCGGCGATCTGCCGGCATTTCGAGACGGGACGTGTCCGTAATGAGAGAATTCGCTAGGTGATGAAGGTTGAGAAAGATATCGTGCACGACGTCATGTCCAGGCAGTTATGCTGGTATGGACATGTGCAAAGAATTTCGGAGGAGAGGTTGCCCAAACAAGTTTTAGAATTGGGTACCACCTGGGAAGAGGCGACGGGGACGTCCCGTAAAGGGTTGGCGGCAGGGGGTTGACGAAGAGATGTTGCGGTGTCAGTTGCCCGAGAACCTCTGGGAAGACAGGCATATGTGGCGTTTGGGTGTCGTAGAACGCCCGAGTGCGTTGTAAAGCGACTTTATATGTATAGAAAATTGGGGAAGAGTCACTCATCTTGAAGTTACTTGACAGGAATGGCACATGCATTACTGTGGTCATCAATGGTCTAATCGCCACTGATTACAAAGATTTCCCAGAATAAATGGAAAACAGCCTAAGCGGGGTATGGTTAGGAGGGGTCATGCAATGCAAAATCCTATAAAATCAAATAACTGTGATATGCCGCAATGAATGCGCATTACATAAAGATGACAGCATAGACTACTGAGGTATATACTACATTTTCCCCCCCTCCTCCTTACATCTTACTTACAATTTGTCAGAATATTTTTAAACAGCCTGTTTTGTGGGTTAAATACTGAATTATGGATGTGACTTGTTGACAAAAAAAAATCTGAATTATCGGTAGAAGAGCGCTCATGCCTAAAGAAGCGAAAATATATATTCTATTCTTCGTGTGAATGAGCGTTTATGCATCTTTCATTCTGGCCTCTGGGGCCTCACAGAATCATTAGATGATCATAAAAATTTGAGGAATTGTCCTCCAATATTACAAATATGTTAACTCACTAATTACCAGAAAAAGGGCATAGGAAGCAATACGCCCCTCTATAAGCAAAGTTTGAAATTGCTGAACTGCTCAAAGGATCATCAATTAGACAAATTAGTAAATCCATCAGATTTAAATAGAGGGACCTTGCAGTCTAGTTGCTTTTAAGTGTTGTAAAAGTTTTGGTCACTTTTATCTAAACTAAGACAATGATTATATCATCTGTATCTTACTGAATTTTATTTTTATTCTTTGTCAGTCTCTCATATTTCTATCTGTTTACAGGAACCATCCATCAGATAGTGCTTTAAAGCTTCTTGATTCAGACGAGTCACTGGAAAAGGTGGAATGGATCACAAAAATTTTTAGTCTTGACAGACCAAATGTTCTACTCTCTGCTGCAAATGTCCAACTTGCAGCTGGAAATTGGGATCGAGCCATTAATTTCTTAAAATTGGCTAAGGTAACATTTTATTTCTTTTTTAGCCCAAAGTTTTTTTCTCTCCCCCCCCCTCCTCCGGTCCTTCCTCACAATGATTCTTTTCTTATTTACAGGGTGTCCCAGGATTTAATATGAATATTGAAGGAGTCGATTCTTTGAGTAAAAAAATGACGTTTTTGTGGTACAACTTTATTCCCATAAACGCTTTCCCTGGGGGCCACCCCCCACTGCCTTCGCGCCCACCTGCGCTTCATTCAGTCCCTATTATCTCGAAAATGATGAGTCATAGTGAAAGAGTGCAAAACACATTTTCTCAATATTTTTCAACGCTGAATCCAGTGGTGCCATCAAATATCAATTTTGGTCGCCGGAAACATTAATTTTGGCCACTTTTAGGTTCAACACCTCCCTTAAACCCCCCTCAAAATGCTTTTTCCTCTTTAGGAGGTCAAAAATGGAAAAAGCGCTAAAAATTACCCCCATTTACCAATTTTCATTAACATTAGTTGATAAACATTGTCACAATGTTAGGAAGACGATTTTTTTTCTCCAACTTTGGGGGCCGTGGCCCCCAGAGGAAGCGTCTTTGGAAAAAAATTTATACTACATAATCGCCCTTTTTTTGACTCAAAGAATTACTCCTTCAATTTGACTCCTTAATCCTGGGATACCCTGTAGATTACAGGAGCTCAGCTATGAAGGTTGTTTTGAGAAAATTGACATGTCATCGAATATTAATATATTGAACATGAATATTGATTACAACAGGATGATAGAATGGTGATAGGCCTCTATTTTGCAGTAATAATATTAATGATATTAACATGACATGACCGACATAATCGTAACAACAGCGGAACGGACCGCAACGATAAAGAACACCCACAACTGGAAGTGTCCTGGCACAGGCCATGTGCAGAACTATTGGTACAAGAAACTAACAGTCACGCACCCTTTTTTGACCAAGCAGATAAACAAGATCCTACAGGAGCCTGAGTTAGCACCTGAATTTATAACAGAGGGGAGAACATTCATTCAATCAAAGGATGAAGACACAGAAAACCCAGCTAACTAGCGGCCAATTACCTGCCTTCCAACCATCTACAAGATTATATCAGCAGCCATCTGCAGTAAGATAAACCAGCACCTTATTAAAAATGATATCATGGCCGTGGAGCAAAAAGGGCACAGAAAGCGGAGTAAAGGATGTAAAGAACAGCTGATAATCCATGGGGTGGTGATGAGACAAACCAAAAAACACCGTCAAAACTTGCATGCAACTTACATAGACTATCGCAAAGCTTTCCATATGATACCGCACTCCTGGCTTCTTCGAATATTAGAAATTCATACAGTTCATACGGTTTACGAAAGTTCCTTTGCTGTTATGAAGAAATGGAGAAATAAGATCCAACTATGCACAGCAGATGGACACCTAGAAACGGAATACATAAACATCTTCAGAGGTATCTTTCAAGGTGATGCCCTGAGTGCTGTATGGTTCTGCAAGTGCCTTAACCCGTTGTCAAACGCTCTCAATGGTACTAAATGTGGTTTTCAAATCAGTAACAGCAGGAGAACCACGTACATGCTGAACCATCTACTAAAAAAAACTACTACTACTAAAAACTACTACTTAAAAAAAGTCGTAACTTTATAATATTGTTATATTATAGGGCAACCCCTAGAGAGGGTATTTTAATATAGTATAAGCACTGTCCTCCCTCCCCACAATAGGAGGACAGTGATTATACAGTAAATATATATAAAAATGTATAAAAATAATTTATATAATTATTAATAATTAACATTATTAAATATATAATTTAGATTTAAATATTTACTAATGTTAGTAATAGAGAAGGAGAGGTAGAATAATATATATATTAATCATTAGCAATAGAGAAAGAGAGGTAGAATAATATATATATTAAACAATGTAACAATAATATAAATAAACAAAAATATATATATTAAATAATGGACAGTAATGAAATCTGTGGTTCCTCACCAGCTCAACTGAAGAAACTGCTAAGTATAGTTGAAACTGTGTCTGAAAATATTAAAATGGAATTTGGGCTGGATAAGTGCAAGATTTTGAGCATATTTCGAGGAAAGTGGGCGGATGAAGAGGGCGAACAAACCCTAAACAACCATCCCGTTCAGCAGATGAGTGAAGAAGACCTCATTAAGTATCTTGGGCTCTGCCAGAACCGGAGGTTGAATCACCAGGAAACAAAGCGAAACCTTCGAAAAAATTTTGAGAAACGCTTGAAAGCCCTGCTGCTTTAAGATTATTTTAGATGTTATTATTACTATCTTTATCCATTTAAAATCTCTCAAAAAAGAGTGTTCTCGGAGGAGCTCTTTGCAGACCGGCCAAAACCAAGTCAGCAAAGAGAGGGATTACAGAGGAGGAAATTACACAAGGGGGACTCTTAAGGGGAGGAAGGAAAAAGGAAGAAAGGAAGAAAAAAAGAACAACAAATGACCAAATAGCTTCAGAATATAAAATTTGCTAAATTTTAATTCAAGTTAAATACCAGGTTTTGCAAAATATTGGGGGGGGGGGGGAGCTATGATAAACAAAAAAACATGTTTAGTAATGGAGCAGTTCACATTGACCATGCTGCTCGTTGTAGACTCAAGAAAGCTCTGGTGATGTTACATGTATGAAGAATCACAGCTTTTTGGACATGCATATGCATGTAAATGGGGAGCTGTAACCGTTTCAGGTTATCCACGAACGTGTAAGGTGTTAAACCTGTGGTCGAGATAATGAAAGACACAATTCGGACTTCATCCAGTTTCCAAAGCCTTTTGACTTCATGCGCCAGAGGCGTGTTCTTCTCCATTTTTTCAGAGTATTTTTGAGCTACGTTGCCATCTGCAATGTCAATGAAAAACGCGGTTTTTTCGATCTTGTCCAGGAGAACAAGGTCAGGCCTATTATGTGGATTGGCCTCATCAGTTTGGATTGAGAGATTCCAGTACAATTTGAAGTTGCTATTTTCAAGTATGGTCTCCGGTGAATACTTAAAATACCGACTCGAGTTTGAATGAAGCTTGCGGTCGAGAGCGATTTGTTTATGTACTTCGCCAATGTGTTATGTCTGTTGATGTATGCCGTGCCTGATAAGAGTTTACATCCTGCCGAGATGCGTTTGATGGTTTCGAGGAAATGGTGGCATTTCCTACATCTGTCATCTCTGACTGACCCATCTTTGATGATTAACTTCTAATAATTCTTAGTTGCTATGATCTGATCTTGTATAGCAAGGATAAAAGTTTCTGTTTCTGGGAATAGTTGACCTCTACGCAGTTCAAAGATGTGGTCCTGACGCACGTGTCTAATGTGGCGCCCATGGAGGGCTTTAGATTCCCAAAGGACTACGTGCAAAACGGGCCATTTGGGGCTCGGGGCGGATACCTTTGAGACTCGCCCTATTCATTAACCTAACAATGCCCCATCTTTTCCCAAAGTTTCAAGCCCCCCAAAAATTTTGGGGAGACGCGGCGGGGGGTCAAAGTTAAAAACCAGCAAAATTTTCGCGAATTTATTACTCGAAAACCAAGAAGTTTTGGAAAATGCGGTTTAAACGAGCGTATTCAGCGTGACGAGAGCTTTCAGAAAATGTATAACATCATAGGGTTTTGTCAACTTCAGCTCGAATTATCGCCTCCGAAGCGCCGGAACGCTCAAAAAAGACCCCTTATTTTTTCACGTTTGGGCCGATTTAAAAAAAAGCCATTTTTTTATTTTCGTGAAAAACTGATATATTGTTCCTGACTCTCTGTAGCCCCTCTAGCTCTTTACCGCATGCTGGGGAAATGTTTTGGTCGCGAGTTATGAGAGCGGAAAGGAGCGAAGGTCGGGAAAATCGGCTATTTTAAACTGCGCGCGGTGACGGATTAGGAGACATGTGGCAACAATGCGAGGTCGGCAGAGGAGTGTGATTCGCCGAACTGAGTGGGAGGGGACGTTTTCCCTCCGATCAACGCCGCGCGCGCAGTTTAAAATAGCCGATTTTCCCGACCTTCGCTCCTTTCCGCTCTCATAACTCGCGACCAAAACATTTCCCCAGCATGCGGTAAAGAGCTAGAGGGGCTACAGAGAGTCAGGAACAATATATCAGTTTTTCACGAAAATAAAAAAATGGCTTTTTTTTAAATCGGCCCAAACGTGAAAAAATAAGGGGTCTTTTTTGAGCGTTCCGGCGCTTCGGAGGCGATAATTCGAGCTGAAGTTGACAAAACCCTATGATGTTATACATTTTCTGAAAGCTCTCGTCACGCTGAATACGCTCGTTTAAACCGCATTTTCCAAAACTTCTTGGTTTTCGAGTAATAAATTCGCGAAAATTTTGCTGGTTTTTAACTTTGACCCCCCGCCGCGTCTCCCCAAAATTTTTGGGGGGCTTGAAACTTTGGGAAAAGATGGGGTATTGTTAGGTTAATGAATAGGGCAAGTCTCAAAGGTATCCGCCCCGAGCCCCAAATGGCCCGTTTTGAACGTAGTCCTTTCTTTCTTCTGCTCCAATGTGTTACATCAGAGCCCCGTAAAATCTTCGGACGACAGATTCAAAGGAGTTAGATTCTTGTCTGTGTGAACCACAGCTTTATGCATTGGATGGTCTTGGTTAATGAAATATGACCTGAGAGATTCCAATGACGATTGCTGAAAAAGTGTAAGTGTAACAAACCTCTTCCACCCTCTTTGAAGGGAATTTGCTTTTGAAAGAATCTGCATCGCCAGACATAGCTCTTCATCCAAGAATGTAAGACCATTTAAAATCCCTCCACCATGATAGAATACTCCGAAAATGAATCTAATACCAAATGAATTTAATGAATCTAGTATCAATAACGTAGAATTGCCACTGAACTGCAAAAAGGTTATATCTACTGTGGATAGAGATAAGCAGAATATCATAAGAAATAGTATTGTTTATGACGCTGACAAACTTTTTCACAAAAATAACCAAGTTGACCAAAATTTTAGAAATACAGTGAAACCTCGGTAACTCGGTTTCCATCGGGACCGAGGAAATTTACCGAGTTAAGCGGGTTACCGACTTAAGCGGACTGCCACTTTTCCTGCCGCGCTTTTTCAAATTTCGCGCCCTAAATTGGACAAACGCAAACGTGCGTGTAGAGTGACTCATAGGAGTGTTTTGGAGAGCCATTTGATCGAAGAAAATGGTACTAAATGGTAAAATTTCATGAAATGCACTTGAAATTGCGTGTTCAAAGTGTCAGGGCATCATGAAGTCATCGGGTTAATCGTATGTTGGGGTGCCGCGGCACCCCATTGCGTATCACCCCCCGCGCACCCCATTGCGTATCACCCCCCGCGCACCCCACGCGGCATGCCGCGCGGTGATGCGCCGCGGCCGCCCGCTATGGCGGGTCGTTGCACTGAAAATGCAACGTATCAATACTCGCTAAAATCCCCGAACAACTCTGCGGAAGATTCCGGGGGGGAGCGGGGAAGGGCAATGCAAGATGGTAGGGGGAGAGGGGCCGGTGCCGACTGGACCTGTCAACTCATCGATACGTGAAATTGCTTAATTATGCATGCGTGTTTTCACACGCGCGATAAGATAACTCGCGGTATCAGATATCCTATTCTCTACTGTTCTCATCTTTCGTGTTGTTATCGAGTGTTTTGATTCCTTATCTCTCTATTTCCGATGTCGTTTCTCGCACTGCGCTGCGCAGGCTGCGCTCTCTCGGAGATTCGCTCACCCTTCGTGGCGTAACTTGACCCGACCCGCACCGCGCACGGGTACCTACGCTTGATCACGGGTGACGATCGAAGAAAAAAAGGTCGAGATGGAAAAATTTCACCGAGTTAAGCGGGTTCAGAATCTGACCAAACCGAGATACCGAGACTTATTTAGCATTGTGTTATATGGGTGATAAACGGGACCGGGCGATTCTACCGACTAAAGCGGGTTACCGGCTTATCCGGGAACCGACTTACCGAGGTTTCACTGTAATAAAGAGATTATCAACTACAACAGGGATATCAAATCAATCAGTAGGAAAGTAGCAGATAGCAAACTTAGCGTAATAAATGTTGATAAGAGTAATAGTATTGCCATTATGAAAGAGGAGGATGTTGATAAAAAAGGTTAATAATTTTATTGATAATAATGGTTTCATAGAATCTAAAATTGATCCAACTAGAAAATATACAGTAAATATAAATGAGAAAAAAACACTAAAAAGTGGCCCGAACTGTATGTATCAAGGTGGAGAAATGGTACTGGGTCCACACCATTTCGTGGGGAAAGCAAAGCCAAGAAGTTCCAAAAATTATAACTAGAGTCAAAAATAATTTTTTTAACTCTAATGAGTACCAGTACAAAACTGAGGGGGAGAGTGTTCAGCTCAGGCAGTTTGCATTGAAATATTAAGTTGGAGTCACGATGAGAGATCTTTACCGGGTTGGGTCTTTTCAGACCTCATTAGCAGATCACACTTGTCAGTGAACCCAACTTAACATGCCGCAAAATCCAACTGGCATTTAAACGCTGTCATGGGTATGACCGGAGGCATGACACAAAAGTGTGTTCCTCGAGTTCATCTACCGTCGCTGTCAAACAACTCTCATAACAAATCAGCAGCAATCTTCAAAGGAACGTTATCATCCATTTGTCCATCGTGACAAGATGAAATCCGTTGGTCTGTTTACTCTCCTTATGCCTGGGATCAGTTATCGGCATCCATGTTCGTCGCGTTGTGCGTTAGCAAGCTTGCTGTTTTTTCTCTGTTTCCAATGTGCGTGGAAGATTTTATTTTAAAGTAACTTAGTGCTAGGAGTTTTAACGTTTATTAGTATACTTCAACGACTACTACATATTACACAACAATTGTGTGTAATTTTATCGTCAGGACTGTACTTATTTTTTAAACGTGAATTTCAAGAAGCAGCACTGAAGATGGCCTCCATGAAGCGCCGAAACGTATGCAGAAATCGCAGAGATTTTCGTAGCCCGATTTTTTATAAACAAGAAACACACAATACAGGATACTTGTTTTAGCCTTGATCCTGTATTTTTTTATATATATATGATTTATTTATTATATTATATGAAAGATGTCAGTTTGTGGTATTATTACCAAGATTCCCATTAAAATTTGATATTGAACTGAATCTTTGCGATTTTATTGGATTTTCAGTCTAATCGCTTTTGTTGTCATTGACATGTTCTATGGTTCATCCTTAACAGACAAGTCCATTGGAAATAGCTTTGCGCCTGGCATCAGCAGGTCTGGTCAAAGAACTCATCACATTTGTAACATCACTCACTCATTTGGAGCTTAGCCCACCTGAAAGGCGTCGGCTGGCTGAGATCTGTATTCTTGCTTTTGTTGAACAAATACTACGTGCTCACGACAAATCAAAATATTTAAAAAAGTTCCTGTAAGTTTGACTCAAATTAAATAACTCAGTCTACTTTCTGTATCTATTTATGTCTTTGTAAGTATACAATTTATTGGATTATTGTTCGTTTACCCAACTGCTTTTTACAGAAGATTTTACTGTGGCAGATAAGTTGTTATTCCTCCTAAAAATTTAAAATTTCTCTCAAAAAGTATGCAAAGAATGAGATTATTTAGAATTTTCCTTTTTTCTTTCAATCAAAGTTTAGTCAACGGACAAAATTTCAATGCCTCCTAATTCAACACTATTCAATGGCCAAATGGTTCCATAAACAGACTGTCTCAAAAAGGGGCATCAGTTTGCAGCAGTAGAGCTGTTACGAGATCCAAAAATTGTCTGAAAAACAGGCGTTTCTCAACTACATTTCAGTAAGAATTGCATTTTATACGTTTAAATAGCTCTAAGTAGCGTTTTGGACTGTAAAAGAGAGGCTTGAAATTGAAATTGCAAATAGAACGTTTCTCAGTGGCTTGATGTAAGATGTCATATCGGGCGAAAACCAGGGTTTCCATAATTTCTTCATTTTTAAAGGCCCCAAAATTTCAGAATTCCCTGACTATCTGTGGCCTTTGGTCAAAACCTCTGTTTTAATTTTATCATTTCAATTACATTACCTTCTGCGAAACTATGTACGAAATCTCTGCTTCTAAAGAATCAGATGAAGGCAAAAGGATCGCTGAAGTATTTTCAAGAAGCACAAGTCAAGTAGTAAACTGGTTGCTTTGAACTCTAACTGAGAATTTATTAAAATTTCAGTTTAATTAGGCGCTTTTTTTATTTTACCTCTAGCCCAGACAACGTGTGTTTATCCCCTTATTTACGTAAAGTTTTCAGATTGTCATTAATATCAACATCAACAACCCCTTCGGGTATTGGGTTTTGGGGCACTCAAAGGGATGTGATTCAATAGGAAACATTGGAGGTTAGATGTCATAAAGCGCCAGGGCGAGCTATAAACATGTATGTATCATGAGTGGCGATAGCCACATCCGGGCAAGTAACCTATCGCTCCAACAATTGGCAACACAGCACAGTCCGGTCAAGGCAACGACACCATAGCTACACGTAACTGGCTTATTTGGGTTTTTAGTTGCGAGTTCATATTAATGTCTACAATCCTATGTTTTTGGCTTCAACGTTCCATTATGAATTTGAGTTCATATCCATGCCTTGCTCGCAAAATCTTCGGTTCAAAATTACGAGTGGTTGCCCCAGTTTACAATGCATCACATTCCCCATAACCTATTGCGTACACAGCTGATGAGTCAAAAGTGTATATGTTTGAAAAGCATTGCATAGATTTTTGTTGTTGTTGTTGTTGTTGTGTGTGATCTTTATCTCTCCTGTTTTTCATTTTTCAGAAAACTATTAAGTGAAGATTTATACTATAGAGAATGTCATGCAGTACAAACAGTCGGCAAGTGCTTCCTATTTCCAGTATTGAAATATTTCCTGTGTGAACGAGGCCTGATTGAAGATGTTGCAGATGTGATAGAGAGTATCATCTCTGAAAATTCTGTTAAATTTCTGGAACGTAAGATTTTCCCTCATAATGTCGACTACTCACTTAATTTCTTATTTCTGAACTCCTCTTGTGTATTTTTTCCTTATATCAGTCAATCGCTTTTGTAGCTCCTTATGAAGGACAAAAACTACATGAGCACTCTTCTACCTTTAAAGAAACCGCTTCCTATGTATATGGAAACTGTAAACAATTAGCCAAGTTTGCTATAGGACATTGAAGACTGGACCAACGGAGATAGAACTGTGCTGAATGCTTCAAAATATGAGAATGTGGTTTTCACAAATAAAGATTATGTGTTTGAACCTTTAATTTTGAACAACACAACTATCCCCTTTGCCTCGACAGCAAATAGTCTTGTACTTACTCTTGACTCTAAATTAAGATATAAACAACTTATTCTCAATACAAGAAAACAAATTGAAATGAAGGTACACTAAATATTATGGCTATTTGGACACCGCTTCAAATCAAAACTGTAAAAAAAATTCTCCTCTTCAAAACAATGAAAAGACCAATATGGTCGTATGCATGCCAATTTCGGGCCTGCAGCTAAGTCAAACATACAATAGACAGAAATGATTCACTAAGGATAACACTAAGGAAAATAATAAATGCTTCGTGGTATCTCAGTAACGAAGCTATCCCTTCGAAATTGGGAAACATAAAATTGAACTCTACATTAGTGGACTACACAACCGATACCAAGAGCGTCTGTCCTCCCACCCCAATCCGGAAGCCCTTGTGCTCCTTGACGGGGCGGGGGATCGCGCTGTTTAAAGAGGAGAAAACCACAAGATTTAGTCACCCTAGACTTTCTTAAAATTTAATTACCTTCATTTGCGTATTGCCGGTACTGGCCTTTGTTGGTGGCAATATTGGCCCGCATCTTCAGATCAAGGTTTCTATTAGCAGTAAGAGTCTTACATCGTTATTAATAGCTACTTTTTGCCATTCTTGCATTGTTTTTCTTGTCTGTTCTGTTTTGGTTCTTCCATGTTTTGATTTGTTTCGTTTTTATTTCTCTCTCTAACCAATTTTTGCATTTTTTTTTTTTTTTTTTGCAATGGAAGTGGCTCATTACTGTAATATTGTTAGTTACATGATGAGTAAAATTTTTTAAAGACCCATAAGGTCTGAAAATATGATGTAATACAAATGTACTTTTATTATGAATAAAAAAGAAAAAAAATTAGAAAACATGCGTACCATCTTAGCAGTTCAAGGTGGTAGTCCATGTCCCTGGGTCGATGGACTATATTTTACAATAAATGAAATGAGGAGAAAACACGGGGTACAGGTTGTAAATAAAAAAGATTTTGACGGGACGTTTCGGGGTTAACATTCCCTTTTTCAACCGCAATAAAACCAAAAACAAAAGTTAAAATTAACACATAAATGAGCCGCCGCTTAACAGCAAGGCAAGACTGAAAACAGGTAAACAAAGTTCAGCCAAGCCGGCACTTCCAAAGATTACACTGCACTTATCAATCAGCGCTCTCTGGTAAAAAGAACTGATGATAGGCAAAGCCAAGCTTATCGACGTCAGCGCGGGAATTACAAACTTGGTCTCTCATCTTGAGGATGTGGACCATTTCTAAGAGACACTGCAAAAAATCGTGCCTCTCAGTGGCCAAAATCCTAGCCCCTTCAAAGTCAAACTGATGATTTAAATTTTCTTCGTGCCGATGTAATGCAGTCTTTTCATTTTTATTGTATCGATGAGAATTTAGCCGCTTTTTAAGTACCCGCTTCGTCTGACCAATGTACCCAATTTCGCAGTCCTGGCACTTGATATGGTAGACTACTCCCGGTACCTGTTCATCCTTAAGCTTAGATTTCAATTTAGACATAAGAAAATTTAAATTATTATACTGCTTATGAACCACAGAGACACCATAAGATTTTAAAATCCCAGCTAGCACTTCAGATAAAAAGGGTACATATGGCAAAGAAATTAACTTCCCAAAATCCAGATTTTGTTGTTTGGCAGGCACAGTTTGTTTCCTTTTACACGATGTTAAAACCTTGTGAAACTCTTGGTCAATAAGAGATGGAGGGTAGCAATTTTCGATTAACAAACGTTTTCCGGTTTCCATCACCTCATTGTGATACTTTGCATCACTGAGGCAAAAAATACGCTGCACTTTGCCGTGTTTTACTATAAAGAACCCCTATGTTTGGCTCATTTTAGTTAAACAATGCATGTGATTTTAGTTTCCTTATGCAGATTAGTACTTTCATGGATGAGCTAGAAACAGTAGTTCCTACTTTCAAAATGAAGTTCAATTGAATGTCGTAGGAAACTTTAGTAAAATTCAAAATAGGTTTCTTCCTTTTTGCAAGGATTGAACCCTCCAGATAGTATGGAAGGTAACCTTCCATACTCTCTGGAACCCTTAACTATTTGCTGTGGTATATACCTCAGGGTCATTAGCCCTTCAAAAAGGATCCCTTGTATAGCATAATGTGCTGACTAAAATTGCTCAGTATTAGTATTATTTCTTTTGATATCTATTCAAAAATAAATCTGAGAGGGATCTTGATGCAGTTGGTTTTTGTTGAAAATAGGTTACAATGGGCCTGTTGCAAACTTTTGCTGGAGCACATATAAGAGTTGTTTTTTACAGAATATGTCTCAAACATCTCAATGAGCGCATTGGCAAATTCTAAAATGCACTCCTAACTTCACAATCTGCGTAGGAATTTTGCATTTTTTTAACTTTCCGCTTCAAAAACGATACTACAGTATTGGTGAACATTTTTTAGAGGAGTCGTATTATTCAACCCCTCCTCAATAGAATGTTCCGCAATATTCAACATAGCCGACCTTTCTGAGCGCAATGGGGAGGAGTGTAAGTCCAATCAAGGCGGATATCTCTCAACAGCTTCAAGGTGAGGAAAATGTGAATGTAAACACGCTGATTGTTATCAGGTGGTTAGAATCTAGTCCTGTCACTCGTGTTTTGGTGGATTGACGTTGATCATGTTGATTATTGCGAAGTATCTTATTGAGCAGAGGTTGAATGGAACAAATCCCCTGACGAAATGTTCACCTGTGCTGTAGTATCGTTTTTGAAACGGGAAACCCAAAAAACCGCAAATTTTTTACATAGATTGTGGAGTTAGGAGAGCATATCAGAATTTGCCGATGCGCTCATTGTGATTTTTGAGACATTTTTTGTATGATGTAACCCGTTTTTTGCTCTAGAAAAAGGTTGCAACAGGCTCATTGAGGTGCTGAATGGGAGCAAGGGCTCTGTTGGTGTGTTTCAAAATCTCTGTAGCTAATCTGTGTCTAAGAGAAAAATCTAATATGTAATATTCCAGAATGTTTTCTATGTAAAGTTGCAGAAAGAATATGCAGTAAAAATTTCAATGATATTAAAGCATACACATTCCTTGCAATGAATGAAGTATTAGCGGAGAATTTGATACGCAGCAACTGAGGAGCCTCCCTTAACACCCAGCGAATCAATTTCAATGTTAGTATGCTCACTTAACGTTTGGGAGATGAAATAAAAATTAACCCTTTCTATTCTGTCATTCAGATTTAAAAATGCAGGTTCTAAAATTCTTACTAGCATTTGTCCCTCATTTAGGATTATTGCAGAAGTTATCAACATTTTTTGTTTTCAAGTTTTATGCAACTTTTTTATTCATTTCCTCTGTTAAGATCTCATCTTCATATTGCTTTTATTCATCCATTTATTTATGTTTCCTATTGTTTCCTAAAATCTTGTTTTTTTCCTGTTTTTTCAGTTCATGATGGATTCTGGGATGTTGTGACAGATAGATCACTGGCAGATATACTAATCCACAAAAAGTCTTTTGCCCTTGAATACATGAAGCTCATTCAGACAAATCTACTTCATTTGCCTGTCCCAACACTGCAGGTAATAACTTATCATTTCCAGTATAATTTTACAAATTGTGGAATTCTGTCAAGTCAGAAATTTTGCAAGGTCTTTTCTTTATCCTTGGATATCAATTCCTTAATAAAATCTATGTAAATTACTTTGTAATGATGCAAAAACATTTATCTTATCGAAGCTAGAAATTTGCATTTTATAGTTCTATGCATAGAACTATTTTTCTCTCCGTCTACATTTTTTGGTCATGGAAGTAATGAGAATTTTTCATCACTTTTTATAATGTTGAGGTGGGTGTATTCTTTATACATGTCTAAATAATGAGGGAGAAAAAGTTCTGAATTAAGTGAATAATAGTGCTATTTATTCGGTTGCTGTTAGCACAGTTTTTTTTTACTGCCCTATGGCACAAACAAGTTTTTGAGCCCTTGAATAGGCGTTTTTAAACAAGGCTGCAGGAGAGCCTTCTCATTTTTCAATTTGGTGCTTCCAATTTTAAAACTTTTTCATCCCAAAATTTTCCAACAGATAACCTTTTTTTGCTGTGAATTTAAGAATACTCTCGATATTTTCATTGACTCAATTCATCCCTCTCATTTCCAAGATCATCTTTAGTGTCCTTGGCATTCCTGAAACCCCGTGTTGGAACCTTCCTATTGTTGCACAAGACTGTGCCTATAAATCATGTGGAATACTTCTGGGTCCTTATCGTTCTACAGAAAAAACAAAGCCAGAAAAACTTAGAAGTAGTGTCACAAATTGAGCCCATATGAGTTTCAGTTCAAGACTGATGGGGGAAGAGTATGGGCCTGTTGCAAACTTTTGCTAGAGCAAAACTAAGAGTTGTTTCTTACAGATAATGCCTCATAAATCACGGTGAGCGCATCGGCAAAGTCTGAAATTCACTCATAACTTCACAATCTGCGTAAGAAATTTGCGGTTTTTTGAGCTTCCCGCTTCGGAGACGATACTACGGTACAGGTGAACATTTTGTTAGAGGAGTCGTTCCATTGGCGGCAATACTCATCATGGCCGACGCCAGTCCGCCAAAACACGTGTGATGGGACGAGATAACACCTGAACAGGATTAAACCAGATAACAATTGGCGTGTTTACGTTCATATTTTCCTCGCCCGCCTTGATTGACCTTGAACTCTCCTCGAATTACGCGAGGAACTGCGCAAGCGTCGGCCATGATGAATATTGCCGACGATGGAGCGACTTTTCTAACAAAATGTTCACCTGTGCAGTAGTATCGTTTTTGAAGCGGGGAGCTCAAAATAACGCAAATTTCTTACGCAGATTGTGAATATATGAGTGCATTTCAGACTTTGCCGATGTGCTCATCATGATTTTTGAGGCATTATCTACAGGAAACAACTCTTCATTCTTCTCTAGCAAAAGTTTGCAACAGGCCCAAGCTGGGATCCTCCAAAATCCTGAACCCTAAGCTGGAGTCCTGACATTACGCAAGACTTGACGCAAGCGTGCGATCCTCCTGCCATCTGCCGTAGTTGCTGAACAACTCTCATAACGGAATAAGGAAAATTCCCAAAAAATCTATGATGAGGCAGTTGGAGATGTGCTCGCATCAGGGTGTTTCAAAAAACAAAAAGTTCGATAAGTTTAGCTCTTCAGTGTTTTCCCATTCCATTTGATCCCAAAAGAAAAGTAGCGAAATTTGAACTTTCCAGGTTAATCCTATAGTTTACTGCAGAGCTCCCCCCCCCCCATCCCTTTTCCGAAAAAAATTACATTGGTTTAAATGGGGGAAAACTGGCCGATCAGGCGGAAATGCGTTTGTTGGCTATGAAATGCGCCCAAATGGGAAAAACTGGACTCTCTCGAAAGACATCTAAGAGCCTATTTGGTGTGAAAAAAATCACACTTTTGATGCATGTGGTAGGGGGGGGGGGGGTTATGGCGCAGCCGGTTTTAAGACGTTGCGCACAGCAAAATGATAATTTTAAATACACTCACATTTATTTCAAAACAGATTTTTCGGAACTAAAAAGACAAATTTTTCTCATATGTTGCTAAAATATAATATCTAAAAGTTGTTTAAGCTCGTAAAGAGCCATTTTTGACCATTTACTTCTTTGCCAAAATCACTCGAGGCTGGAACGAAATTAGTGGCTATTTAATTCAGCACTGGAGTAAATTTAGCAACAGTGTAAATGGAGAGGCGGATGTGGAAAATCCATGGTCTCTCTGCAAAGGCAAGACCAAATTTAAAAAAACTGTAGCGTACCAGAAAGTTGAGAATAAGTACCTTTCAACACTATTTTGGTTTTTCCCTAGCATTAATATATCTCAAGAGTAAAAATAAGTGAACTTGTTCTGAAATCCTTCTTCACACTACAGAGAACTTTACAAAAGTTTTGTTTTGCGAGAATCAAAGACACCATGTAGATATAGCAGCTTTTGTACTGTAGATGTTTCAAGAATAAGTTTTCAAGGTAAACTTTGAGCTTAACTTCAGCCCTATTTCTCCGTCTGTAGGATTAGCAGATGCATTCCATGAAGGAAAATACAATCTTAGGTTCAGTTTTTAAACAGTACTCTAAAGTTAATTTCAAATTTGTATGAATTAACAGTTGGAAATGAACCAACCAACTTCTGTAATTTCGTCATTTTTTATTTCTTTCAGTCTATATATGAATTTTTCAATCCAACGAGAAGTTGCATCAGGCCATTAGTGAAAACTATGTTCAATTTTGTAAAATCTAATCAGCAGCCACGAGAAATCCTCAATCAATCAAAATTTGTCTTCTCTACCGATGTAAGTGTGAAAGGTTATTCAAATCCTTGTATCTAAGTACCTACGTACAAAAGCAAAAATTTAATCGGCATGGACTTAACATTCGACTTTATTTTCTTTTTTTCATACACTGTATCCTGGACATCAACTTTATTGGAAGGAGGGGGGGAGGGCTGACCTTTTCTTTTTTCTCTTTTTCTTAATGAGTGGACTTCAGCTAATGTGAGATATTGCGGGAAAGGCGTGTAACTGGCTGCTCAATCCTAAGTGGAAGCTGATGCTCGCAATAGACAAAAGAGGTAAATAATAGGCTATCTAACGGTAACCGTTGAACGACGCTTTAGTCAGTCCATCATTTGCCTTCTTAATGTATAAGAACCATCGGTTTCCAACAATAGGAGCATTCCATTTCCCCTGTGTCTTCTTTGTCTATCAATTTCAATAATCAGCCAGCAGTGAGCAGTCCTCACTGTAAGATTTTTAGGGCTGTACAAATCCTCAAAAGGTTTGAACCAGACAACCAGTTTGGGTTTAGTTCAATTTTAAAATTTCACTTTGGGAATACAGAACCTTTTTTGGATGGTATTTCAGTGTTCGGCTGGCACTCGTTGGTATTTGCGATTTTCAATGGGTGCTTGTGATTTGCAGTGAATTGTTATAATTTACCGGCTGCTTGCATGTGATCAGGATTCTCGGCAATCCTTGCAGTTTTTTCCACAGATTATGTAGAATTTGCGAAGATTCAAGTAATTTTCCTTATTTTGCGGCTAAAAACACCTTCCTAACATGTAGGATCAATTCAGCAGGCTTAACTCCTGCCTCAATTTTTTTCCTTCAAAAATTCAACATGCTTTTTTTACGGGACTATACCTTTTTGGAGCAAAAATTCCCTGAAATTTAAGCCTTGGGTCACCATTTATAGCTCAGAATGATTAAATGTCCTTTAATCTCTTGGGCTGGTTTAATTTTAATAGTAAGTCTTTTTCTCATTTAGTTCCTCTGGGAACTCCCCTGATCTTAACTTCCTTTATAGTACTTACTAGGAGGCTACGCCCCCTGGCCGCTACGCGGCCCAACCCCCTGGAGGCGCTCCGCGCCATCAATGGGCCGCTTTGCGGCCCTATTTTTACCCTCCTATCAGCGTTAGTTTTATTTTTCCCCTAAAAAATTACGACATGAGGTATATTTTACTTTTTAGAATGAAATGATTTTTCTTTTTTATAAGTAAAGAAGAAAAAAATGAGAAGGCAAAAGGATGCGATTCTCAATGATTTCTTAATGCTCCATTGCAGTAAAACAACGAATTGGGACAAACAGATATTTTCAAAATGAAATTCAAGCGGGAATCGATCCCCCATCAAGACATCGGCAGGCTCAACTGACGTTTTAGACAACTCGGCCACTGTCCACTGTATGGAATTATCCGTGAATCTTGTGTACATAAGTATAGAGCTGATGCGCAGGCTACACAGCCACTGCGCAACCCTCTCGGCCACTGCGCATCCTCCCGCGCATAGCGGTAGCAGTCCCGGAGCATTCTGTAAATTCACTCACTTTTATAACGTGATTGTAAAAAAACCTGGGTCCTATTTCCAAAATCTGATTAGAGCGGGCTCATCTAGGGCCTATCATCTGTCGATTTACGCAAAAATCATGGAAATCGGCCCGGTAGAATGCTCAAACGAACTATGACAAAATTTATAAATTTACATTGTTTAAATGGGAGAATTCGCAACTTTACCACGTAATATAAAAAAACCTGGGTCATATTTTGAAAAACTGAATAGAACTGACTAATCTACAGACAATTGCCCGTCGATAGCCGCAAAAATCATGAAAATCGGCCCGGTAGAACGCTGGAACTAAGCGTTACCAGTTACGCAAAATTAGGAGGTCTTGGAGCTTACATGTATGATTGAAAGTATTAGAATACTAATCCGTCCCTGTTACTGTAAAAATCTGTTCACAAGGGAATTTTTGTTGGAGGACTAAATTATGACAAAAGAGGAATACATTCAAAAGTATTTATTCCGGTAAACTCAACACTTAAGACATACATGCTACATAGTGGAGATGGACAATGAAGAGATTAAGTGAGTACAGAAAAGTGTGTGTCTATGGACACCAAAAATGTTGAAGGACACTAAAACTCAGGAAAAAAAGAAAAAAGAAAACTACTTTTCTAAAAGGCAATCTGGAACGAGTTAAATGATCTGCAAAGATTCCGTCCTGAGCTCCAAAGGCAGGGCTAACAGAAAATCCTGCCATTTCCATCAAAAACTGTCTGGTGCGCAATCAGGAGCATTGATATTCCCTTTCTGTCGACTCTATTCGGAGACCTGTGCCGCCTCTGATGCAAGGCCCACGACCCTGCTAGAATAGCACAGCAAATTTAACTTTTATCGCTCAATCACCCTTCTATGAAGCTGTATGGATTAATACTTATTTTAAAATTATTATTTTACATTATTTCTTGAGTCTCGTGACCAAGAAAAATTTGAAAATTTTTAGAATTTCAGGGCATTGCACTTTTCAAAAGGAAAATCTGCATAGTTTCTCTTCTTTTATTTTTAGGATAAGGAAATTATAGTAATGACGACCATAAAGACCAAAAAAATACAAATATGGAATATCAAAATTATTCTATGTAAAGCTTCATACCTATGTTTGCCTACTATGTTACACTAATTTCTATCTTTGGAGTCTGTTTTTTCCTACAAGGAAAAAGAAAAGTCATTGGATGTTCCAGGTCCCATTAGGGTTTCTGTGTACCATTACGCAGGGACCTTAGGTCCCAAAGCTTATTCTTTTCAATTACGTGCGTCAAAATGCACGTATCACTCTTATTATATGGAAAAAATATTCCTTTTTTGGCCATATGCGGCATTTATGACTACCCGTAGAATGCAAATGGCATCAAAACATTTCTGCTCCTGGGCGCAAACCGGGGACCTTTCCATCAGCAGCCCATGTCTCTATCTACAAGACTATAGGGACTCAGCTGTCAGATAGGCAGAATTCGTCAATACATAAGGCAATTAAAGTTCTTTCTTTCTCCACCAAAGCTGAGAGTAGATACGCATCTGTCACAAGTTCCTGCCTACTGATGATCTGCAGTTGGATTTCCTGTCAGCCCTAGCCTTCCGGGCCAAGACGGAATCTCTACTAAACTCAAACGCCATCCAGAACTAGCCCTTAAGGCTCGTTGGGGAAGGTGAAATAAAGGAGAACATACATGTCGAAAAGAAATAAACTGCGGCCGGATGGCCACCTTGCAAACTCCTGAATGAACCACATGATAGAACCAATGAACAAATCGGAGAAAACTTCAACACTTACATTCCCAACGAAAATGTGAATACGGGATGCAACTTGATGCTCAATAGAACTCTCTCTTACTATTCTCTCTCTTCTCTCATCTTGGATCGCTGCTGTTTCCCCCACTCTCTCTTCTTCTCTCAGGCGGGAACGTCAACTGTGGGTGACTGGCTGTTAGAATGTCAGATTCATAGACTACAGATTAGGCAGTAGGATTACTACCGTATTGCCGAACAACAGTTTTGGCATGCTTATTACCTTCACATTTTTACCTTATTTATACTCCTATTATTTTCATTACTCGTGAGAGTGTGTAGTTATAAGTAACTATCGAAATTTGATTTTCTGAAGGAAGTAGAAAAATCAGAGATGAATCCTAGCAAGTGAGAAATCGTTTTCATAATTTAGGAGAATTTTTAAGAAGTATATGTTTAGCCTTTAGCCATTATCTTTTTTTTCAGATTGGAGTGGAAGTGAACTACCCCATCGAGAATTGGATAACCATATTTCTACTCACATTGCTTCAGTTACTGCACAAAACGCAAAGCACTTCATATAGTTTTGATGCTCTCAACTTTGTTTGTCTAAAGCACAATTCACCATCAAAAGGAATGTTAATTAAACTAAGTAACAAGGTTGTTCTCAGTGCGGGGCTGGCACATGGTGCAGCTATTCTGAAGAAAACCGTTTTCACTTGGGGTCAGGATCGACACAGCTGTCTCGGAAGGAGACCAGCCATGATTGTAGCACAAGCTGATCCAATTCCCTGGTTTGCGTTTCCTAAAATAGATGTACACAGCATAGCTTGTGGACGATATCACACACTTGCTCTGACTAGCAATGGTGTGTATAGCTGGGGCCTGTCTAACTATGGCCAGCTTGGAGTAGGAGGATTGAAGAACTCTCCCATACCCCGTATCGTGGAAACTCTAAGTGAAGAATCAATCATATCAGTGGCAGCAGGGCAGTATCACTCACTGGCAATATCAGCCAATGGGCTCTTGTGGACATGGGGTTGGGGTGTCCATGGCCAGCTTGGTCATGGTTCTATTGAAGATGTCCTTGTCCCAACGGTTGTCTCTTGCCTTAGCTGTGAATTTATTGTTCAAGCTGCTGGTGGTTATGCACATTCAATAGCACTCTCTGCAAAAGGTTGTGTGATTGTTTTTGGTTCTAGCTACTTTGGTCAACTTGGAATTGGGTCTCCTGTTAAGCGAACTACTCCAATTGAGGTTTATGGTCTGTCTGAGCCAATCACACAAATTTCCTCTGGATACTTCCACAATCTTGCTTTAAGCAAGGCTGGGAGACTGTATATCTGGGGTTCAAGTCCGCAAGTACTTAGGTCACAAACGCAGGCACAAAAAAGGTCAAAAGCTTTCCAGTTAAAAAGTTCTTTTAAGCCAGAAGATGATGAGTTTGCAAGTAAATTTACCTGTGACGACAGCAGCACTAATAACACTGAAAGTTCATGTAAAGGTGACTTCTTTAGTGAAACTTTTGGCAGTGTGCCTACTCCTGAGCCGAAAGCTCAACAATTAGATTTTCCAACCCTTGACTCCTCTGCATCACCGGATGAAAGTGCAATCCATCTTTCTCCAATGTTGGTCGACACATCCAATGTTTTAGGAAAAATCATCGCCATTAGTTGTGGTTGTCACCATTCTGTAATTCTTGATGAGAAGGGAACAGTTTACACTTGGGGAAAAAATTTTGATGGTCAGCTGGGTGATGGGACGCGGAAAGCGGTCCTTCTACCAAGCCCAATCCAAATTAATAATCAGTTGAAACTATCCTCTGATAACCTGATACTCCATGTCCCTTTGTCAACTGTTCCAATTCAATATATTTGTTGTGGGGCAGATTTTACGCTGGCCATGGAATCAGGGGGACGAATTTGGGGATGGGGCTCTAATCAAAGTGGACAACTCGGCACTCCACCTGTTCCAGATGACTCGGATATCAGAATTAAAATCAAAGCAAGTAGCAAACGAGTTTTGAAAGTCCCTTATGGTTCACAAAACAATATAATAGATTCTCCACAGCTAGTGCCAATCGTAGCGTACCAGCACTTTCCAACGTTTCCTGAAAACAAGTTGAGCACGTCTGTGTATTGTTCAATTCATTTACCTTCAGAGATTATTCAGCACAACCTTGTACCTCTCGCCAAAATTGACCCATCTCCGAGTGTTTTAAGTTTGCACTACATTTTGGAGTGCTTTCACAACTGTTACAATGTAGATTTGGTAAAAAGTGTTTGTACGGAATTAGAAAATTTCCAAGCTCTTGCCAAAATTCACCATCTCAACAAAAATTATTGTCAAGCATTTATGAACCATTTGAAGTCTTTGCTCTCGACAAATCTAGACTTTTTTGTGTCCGTTGGTGTGAACTCTCGAAATACTATTAGGTCAGCAAGGAAAAAAGAAAAATTGGTTAGTTTAGAAGTGATAGCTCCAAACTTGACAACTGATATGATCGTTAAAAGTAAGTCTGAGAACTTCATTAACTCTCAGAGAATGATGTCGTCGGAGAAAATGAATGTGAGTGAAATCAAGGAGACAAGTGTAGTGAATGGAGGAAACATGAAAATGGAGACATCAGATAATCGAACTTGGATCCAATCTGATGACACACTTGAGGAGCAGTCAAGCATCATTACAATGACAAATTCTGACATTTATAGGTCCGATAACATGAGCTACAACCACATAGAAGAGGTAAAAAAAAACCCACCCAATACTTGTGACAATGAATGTTATCAAGCTAGTTCACCTGACTCCTTGAGTTTTGAAAATAAAGAGCGACTAAGCATATGCGATGAAATTGAAATTCACACCAACAGCTATTTTTTGAAGCCTTTGGACGCCGACAAACGCTCTCAGCTTGACAAAAGTGAGTCATTTAGTGTGGATATTCTTGATTGTGTGAGTAATGAAGATTACTGCGAGACAACCAACGCAAAGCTTGAAAGCGATTGCAATGACTGCATCTACAAAGAAGATTCATTGAACCGTTTCAATATTCTAAATAGTCTCAACTCTGAAATTAAAGACATCCTTCTTGGTGCCGCCAAAGAGAGCAATACTGACATTAGCCTAGAGCCTGTAAATCAGAATGGTTTGGATACCACTTTTGAAACAGAGCCAGAGGATGAGAAACTGGCAGTGAAAGCTCTTGAAATTTTTCAGTTATATCTAGATTTAATGAAGAAAGCATCCAAAACTGATTGTTTATACTTCTTACATGAAAGCATCTTAACCTGGATTTCACATCAGCTCCCAGTTCACTACTTGGAAAATCTTTTTGATTCACAGTGGGACGATTATGTTAATTATCTTGGTATTATTTTGATTTGTGGCATCAGACGGGACTCTGACCATGGATCAACGCAGCAAATGCTCCACCAATTCTCGCTCAAGTTCAATTTGCGAGTATGTGCTACTCTTATTGAGTCTGCATCCGACAAAGGTGAGTTGCACCCGGAACTAGTCAAACTTCTTGCGAATACCTTAGCTGCTCCAAATGTAGGAGGTACGCTTGGAGACCATCGCATGTATGGAGACCTTCTTGCCGTCACTTTGAGCAAATTACGGGGTGATATTCCATTCCAGCCTTTTATCAGCATTGATCCATCCGTCCTTCACAATGAAATAATTGCTTTCTCCTGTGGTCATCGATTTCCAAACTCAAATGCCTTGCAATTCGCAGTTGCAAAAGCAGCAGCTGAGCTGGAGGACCAAAGTTTACCACACATCGCTAATCAACTCAGAGAGCTGTTTGATAAACAGCTTGTTATTCGGAAGTTTGCATGCCCAGATTGTATTGTTTCATTTTTCTTCTCAAGAAATATCAACTCATAAGTGTTAAATCTAACATCCCTTGTGATGAATACCAAAGCCTTCATGGGAGAATATATATGTACACAGAACCAACACCTTTAATACAGACCTGGCAGGGACAAATAATATACTTTTCAAGTACATCAAAGCATGGCAACCAAGGAACACCAGGAAAAACGCACGGATCGGAGACGCAATTTTTAGTTTACAAACGACTGAGGATGGAGAGGTAAAGGCTTTGAAATGCAGCTCGTTACAATAAAAGTTGATACAAGTGAGTACGCTCCAAATTTTTAAGGACCCCGCACACTTCTTATGGGAAAGGACACCACGATGGATTTTTAATTTTTTTATTGCATCCCATTCTCCTCAAGATGCTGATAAAAAGTCATCATTGTGCCAACTTTCCTTGATGCACAGATTTTGCACTTCACGCCCAAAAAGTTTCAATTATTCGGCGATAAAGAGTCAAAAAGAACAGGGTATTGAAGAACAGACCTGATGTAAATAAGGGTAAACATAGCGCGGGTCTGTCTTCTTATCTGTTCCTGCTTACTCTGGCTGGGGCTATCTCCCTCCCGCTCTCGTCCGTTTGACGTCCACTGCTTTTCTCCGAATTTTCTGTTCTTATGCTCCTCATGAAACTGATTTGGATGGTGAAGCAAAAAGGCGAGCGGAATCCGAGACAAGTCTGCCGCTCGGTGCTGGAGTTCCCCTAGTTTCCTTGTTGACACACTGCTGACTGTTCATTCGAGTGCCAAAATGAGGAATCTTTCTGACTCTTTATCGCCGAATAATTGAATAATGACGAGCGTGTTGTGCAAAAACGGTGCATCGTAGAAAGTTGGCACAATGATAAATTTTGATCAGCATCTTGAGAAGAATTTGATGCAATAAAAAAATGAAAAATAGACTGTGGTGCAATTTCCCACAAGGAGTGTGCGGGTTTCTTTTATTGAGATATTGATTGAAAGTTTACTAAGTTAAGTCACGTCAGGTTGAAACAGAGTAAAAGTTCCAGAGGAAAGATACCTGCTGTAACATTTCTAGTCCAATTTTTTTTTTTTTTTTTTTTTCGTGAGTTTTGAAAATTTTCAGTTACGAACCCGTGAACATTGAAGAGCTGGAAGATTTGCTCTTCTTCAATCTCTGCAAAATTTTCAATTTTTTTTTTTCAAAGGATTTTCCATGTGCCTTATGCATCCCTTGATAAGGTCATGTCATTTGATCAGTGATAGTCCTCTTCGAGTCTGTTAAAGACACTGGAAAATATCAGTATCTACCTCCCCTCAAATATTTCCGTTTGATTAAGAAGTGCTGCCATTTGTACCAGAAGTGTTAAAAATAACTGTAGGTCATGAAGGACCAGATCTGATACATCATCCTTTGTGCAGCCTGTAGGTTTTGTCTTCTTGGTACGTTTTCCCATAATTTGTCAGAGGGGAAAGTTGCACTGAAGAAGTTGCAACAAATACTGACGGATCTAATATTGATTGCAGTACTAAGTAGGGTCCTTTGGTCCTTGTAGAGCTTCAAGACCGATTATGAGAAGAAAATTAATCAGTGAAAGCAAATTTTTTGTTATTTTTTTGTTCACTCAATTGTTATGTTTGTTTAATTCAAATAATTTTTCTCATAGTCTATTATTCTCTTCAATTATTAATTCTATTTAAATAATTTATCTTCCCTTGCAAACTTGTCTCAGAAACATGAGAACCCTGCCCTGTGGAGCTGGTGACTGCGAAAAATTGCCAAAGTTCGTTTTGTGCGTTTCGACGCTACAACAAATCTGATGAAAATGTTCTGCGGGGACAAGGCCTAATGGGTCCCTTCTTCTCCTTCGTCGTTTCAGGTATTTTTTAAAACGAACACATCCAAACTCATAGTCTTATTCAAAGGAAGAAATCGAATGGAGTAATTATTTTTTTGGAACCATATTTATTGAAACATTTTAGTATAAAATCATTGGTAAAATGGAATGAAAATATGAATAAGTGCACTCTATTTTATGGACATTATTTTGAGAAGGATAGGAATGTATTTGTGAAATAAAAAGAGAAGTAAATAGGTAAAAAGTTTGAATTCTATGAATTCTGAGAACAACTCTGATTGAAAATGGTCGATTAGTCTTCTTTTATAATTTTATTTTGAAGGATGGATAGGAAATAAGTCGATCCTTCAAATACAACCAAGATTAGATGGTCAACTTTCTGAGTGAGGAAGCCATACTATTACCTAATCCTAGAACTTTTTATGACAGCCTAGTCAAGTATAAACATAAGCCACGAGTTCGACTTGTTAGAAATATTTTTTTGATTACCATAAGGAATCTTGATAAAATTCCATTCAATCAAGATTATGTGGATTTTGTTATTTAATATTTTACCAATGGGTCAGTTGTGCTGGTCATAGAATCGTGTTTTGGGGCTTGATTCTTGTAGATAAGCTAAAAGTATTAAGATCTGTCCAAACCGCAACTTTCTACGTTCAATATTAAGCAAGATATCGCCCATTGAAAAGTCGGGTTTTTGACCACCGCAGTAGTAACACCCTTGATTTCTTCCACCTTGTTTTCATCAGTCGGTGTGAAGCACATTTGCACTAGTTATTTAACATGAAACCCGGATGAAAACTAAGTGAAAGAAATGAAGGGTTTCACTACCGCGATGGATGACGTCAAAGACCTGACTTTTTAAAGGGTGATATCTCGGTTAATACTGAACGTAGAAAGTTGCGATTTGGATCTTATTATATTTAGCTTATCTACAAGAATCAAGTATCAAAACACGATTCTGTGACCAGCGCAACTGACCCATTTTTTCTTCCATCTTCTAAATTTACATATGCTTGAATCATCAATAAAAACTCATTCAAATTGGTTCAAAAATCTGAAGATCGCTGTCAATAGTAAATTGTCTTTCAAAAAATGTTACAGATTATTTTGTGTTGTGAAGCTGAAAGCTCTTAAATTTTATCTCATGCTTAATAGAATCATTCAATGTTCGGTAATTTTGAAGCAAAATGTCAATTTTGCTCAGTGAGTGATTTTTGTTTGTTTGTTTGTTTGTTTGTTTTTTTTTTTGGAAAAGAGGTCAAAATACTTAAGCCCTCATGAAACTCCAATATTGTCACAGCAGTTTCAAGTGTTGCAACAGAAGCTCTTTCAGTAATCATCAAAGACACATGTAAAGCAATAAATTTCACTCTTTCATTTTTTAAAATAACAGATGAATGAATGTTACGATGTATCAATATCAGTCGCAATCTTAACACTCATTTTCTCTCAGATGTCTTGGCAAAACGTGTATCTGACGTATCTTCTTAAATTTCTTTTACTTCAGATTTTAAGTCTGAAAACTATTCTTAAAAATCATCGCAGAGGCAGTTCTGCTTTCAAGAAGGACAGGAAATTTGTAAGATACCCCTTGTAATATTATATTTTGTTACTTTCATCATCAGATAAGAGCAACCACTGTCGTTCGACATGATTATCATGATATCAGTGCAGTATGTTTAGCAGACTACTCTTCACTGTGAATTTCTCTCTTAAATGTTTAAAATGTATCTCCTATTTTATCGTAAGCATTCAGTATAAACTGAGAAAATTGCCGCTTGTTCACAATTAAAAGCCTTCTCACCCAGCAACGGCCAGAAGTAAAAATATGGAAACGTTGCAAAAATGTTGCGACATTATTACTCGTAGATATGACAGTGAGACAACGTTCTCGCAATTACCTCTAGCCACCATGTGTCGGATCGGTTAACTTTTAAGGAATATGGCGCATTATCAGTGTTCTCGGGTGCTCCGTGTGCAAGATCCGCACGCTCTGCCTTTCTCTGTGCTGCTATTGGCTACTTCGTCATTCTGTGATGTCAGGCGTACGGATATTTTAAGTTAGAGAAGCGTTTTCCCGTGAGGTTTTTGTGCGTACGCAGTACGCGCCAGGATAGGGAAGATCCGCACGGCACAGATATATCCTAACGCTTGGGATCACTGCCTATTGTTTAGTTCGTCAAGGGAACAAAACTTCTCACTTCTTCAATGTTTCTGAAAACCGATTATCATCGACATTAATATATTCCAAATGTGTCTTGTTCAACATCATTTGGTAACAAATCTTGCTTTCTTAGGAACTGTTTTTTTTTTTTCATTTCAGAGTTACCTTTGTCAAGTTAATGGTGTTTAGCTTATGCTAACTCGTTTTCTTAGCTGAATTTTTTGTTACTTGTTTTCAATCTGTGTACTGTTACAGCCTGTTATCTGTTTAAGTATTGCAGTTGAACTTCTCCTGAAAGAATCTTTTTATTTTTAGTTATTCTTATTTGTACAGACTTTCATTACTGAGTGTTTATATTCTTGTAAATTTTATTATTGCTATCAAACTTTTATATTAAAATCAATTCCAGACAAAAACGCGCAACTTCGTTTTGCATCATTTAGATCTCATCTAACTGGAGATAACTAGCTTGATTACTGTGTTTTTAAGATCCCACAATCTCTTTTCTGCTTTAAAAAATAAAACAATACATATATAGGGTGTCTCAGACCACCTGAAGTGGGGGACCGCAGGGTCAAGTAGGGAATCGACCCCAAGGAATCCGAATTTCATGATCCTGAACCCCCCCCCCCCCCGTCCCTTGGGGGATGAAGAGCTGGTCACGATCCTAAAAATTGAGGTTCCCGATAGAATTGCGATTCGATTGCATTCAAATTGATAAGTACGAAAAATGTCACGTGAAATAGACTCCTATAAATCCAAAATCGGTCCACTTTAAGCCCAAAAATGACGTCTCTTATAGGGAACAATCTAAAATTAACGCCAAATTCGAAGTTATCGGATCAAAATACCTCCAATACCAATTTTCGCGAGAACCCATAGTATAAAACAGACACTTGCGCACAGGATGTCCCAAAAGTTCCTTCCATCCCCTCTAAAATTTTACCTAATTAATAATTTGTTACGAAACTTTGAGGATGCCCAAAGATCAATGTTACCTACTTTTGGGGCCTCTCCAAAATTTTCGGGCGCCCCATGGGAGGGGCTACGGACCCCAACTTTTTTTTTCAAAAAGCAACCCCCCCCCCCTTTGCGACACATCAATCCGAAGAGAATGAAGAAAGAACATTTTTGGCGCAAGCCGCGAGTAAAAATCTTGACTTTAGACAAAATGGCGGCCGGTCAAAGCTAAAAAAAACGGAAATTTGACGTTTCGCTTTTGTCGATGGATTACGATGGATTCGCATGAAACTCGACTGCCATTTTTAAAGTATTCAGCATTTCAAAAATGTAGTGCGAAAGAGTCATTTATTTCGAGCGAGAAACCAGTAAGTAGGACTATGAGTTTCATGCAAATCCATCAGCAAACTTCCGTAATACCACGTTGCCGCCATTTTCCCGCCGTCATTTTTCAAATAGTCAGAAAATCGAAAATCCAATGAAAGATTCGTTTTTAAAGCCGAAAATCCCGAGCCGAGCTGAAATATCCCGGGTACCCAGTCTCATGCAATTCCACCGATAAGCAGCCTAAATATTCTGTTACCGCTCTAGGGCGCCATTTTTCCGGAAAACCAGAATCGTTTTTCTCGTACCCAAATAAACCCCCGGATGTCAAGTTTCAACCCAAGCCGTCGACAAAAACGGAGATGTCAAATTTTCGTCTTTTTGACTGGCCGCCACTTTGTCAAAAATCAAGATTTTGACTCGCTGCTTGCGCCGAAAATTTTCTTTTTTATTCTCTTTTAATTGATGTGTCACGAAGGAGGGATTGCTGAAAATAAGAACCTTTTGTTTCAAGCGCTTTTTCCCTAAACCCCCGTTTTTTGGAGTTAAGTACGCCATTGGGGCATTTTTGGAGCTTAATTCAATTAGACATTGCAGGCGTTAAAATTATCCGATTTTCAAAATGTATAAGTCTCCTGGGAGAAGAGGTCATTGCCTTTTTATTGATTTGCCCCATGGCTCCTGTTGATCCAAAATTATGGGGGCCATGACCCCCCGACAATTTTGGGGCTTTGGAGGGCCGTAAGTCGAAAGTTTCTAATGGCAAGGGTATGTTTTTACTTCAGATTTGGATTTTACGCGAAAAGTTACGGAGAACTGGTACGGCGCACGGCCTATTTGCTCCAAATTGCTCCTCAATTGCAATTGCTAAAGCAGCAAATGCAATTGCAATGCTTGCAATTTGCTCCTCATAAGGAGGAAAAAGGGGGAAAATAGGCCGTGCGTTGGGTGTACCTTTTTCGCGTTAAAGGGGTAACATAACCTCATTTTTGGGACTTGCTTCGATTCATTGAGTATATCCTTAATTTATCCGATCCGATATTGAGGATTCACTAGGCAGAAACGTACATTTGAGGATATAAAGAACTCATAATCGCAAGAAAATCCAGCAGGAAGTGTGTGAAAAAAAGTATCGCCTTGATTCGATATTTTTCGATATTTCCAGAGATAAATTTATCGACACGGACGATACATTGGCCTTAACATATCGGTACAGTATTATCGGTATTTTGGTCGAAAATATCGATAGAATATCGATAACACTAGCCCAGCACGCGTAGAGACTAGAGTACATACCTGTACAGGGTGTTCCAAAAGTCCCGCTCCCCCCCCCCCCCCGTAACTTTTGAACGGGTACAGATAAAAAAACGAAACTTGAGAATGTTTCTATCTCAAAGAAGACCATCTTCTAGGGGGGGTCTAAATTTTTGCCCCTGCCTCAGGGGGGGGGGGGCCCAACTTATTTTTTCAAATGATAACCCCTATCTTGTGGTACATCATTGGAAAGAACATTAAATACTAAGAATTTTGGCGCAAACCGCCGTTCAATATCTTAATTTTTGACCGAGTTATGATCGGTCAAAGGTTAAATTTGACCTATTTTCAAAAAATCTTAACTCCGGTTCAAATTATCGTAAAGAAGAAAATGAAACAGGACAATTTACCAAATTGTAAGCACTTTTAAGTAAAAATCACAGAAATCACTTCCAACTAATTTTAAGGGGGAGTTCCGGACCCCCAAATACGTGATTTTAAAGGTCAAACGATTTTCCCGCGAAATGAGCCAATTTTCCCTCACTTTTCCTCCATATTACCTTGGTAAGTTCAAAATTAGTTCAACATTGCGTTCTCAAGTCCCCAAATTTCGGGCAAAGTTCAAAAAACGAAATTTAAGGTGATTCAATTGAACCATTAGATTTCGTTTTTTTTTTAAAAAAAAAGCTTTGTTCGAAATTTGGAGACTTGAAAACGCAACGTTGAACTACCTAATTTTGAACTTACCAAGATAATGTTGAGGAAAAGTAAGGGGAAATTGGCTCATTTCGCAGGAAAATCGTATGACATAAAACGTTCCCGAATGTTTCTCAACAAAATTATAAGCACTTTTAAGTAAAAATTGCAGAAATCACTTCAAACTAATTTTAAGGGGGGGGGGGTCGGACCCCCGAATACGTCAGTTTAAAGGTCATACGATTTTCTCGCGTAATGAGCCAATTTAACCTAAAAACCCATGTCAGACGCTGCCCACATTTTGCCGAATATTGTTGAATAAAGTGATAGCAATGAAAAGATTGCTGAACCATCGCACCTCAATAGGTTTTCTTTACTCAAAAAATAGGAACTTTGAAAGAAAACCTCAAAAATATGAAAGTTTACAAAGGTTGAAATTTTCACATGTAATCCTCATGGGCAAGACGCAGCAGAATAGTGGGGCCGATAAGCGTAACAATCGTGCACTTCTGGAAGAAAGCATGAAAATTTCAGGGATTCATCTCTACCCTATAGAGATTCGATTTAGACATAGACCTCAAAAATCTGAGCCCCCTGGGGGGGCAGGGGGCCCCCCAAATTTTGAATTTTGAGTAACTACTGAACGGCTAATGTTAGCGTAATTTTTTTACAGCAGGACGATGGGAAATTTTACCATCGGGGGACGGGGAGCCGGCCGTTCTGAGGCAGATCCGCACGCTGCGCTGCCTGCCCGGGCCGCGCGGCCGGTGCAGTACGGTGTTACCGACGAAACAACCGCTTGTCTTTGTTTAAACTCAACGATGCGCAGTTTTAAAAACAATTATAAAGTTACCGTACTGCTTAAATACTTTTAATTAATAATATAAGCCCTACTTTAATTGGCAGTACATAAACACAAGCAAAAGGCGAAATACTCCAATGTGAGTGCGCCAAGTCAATAGCAGGTATCGGTCATCGCGCATCACGCGTCCTGTATTCTCTGAATACAGAGCTTTTCCGACCTAAGTGCATAGTAGGTAATTTACCCTTTCCTTACGTAATTTTTGTACAGAATTACATTTTTTAAGATATTAGAGCGGAAGTTTTAATTAGATTTTGACTCACTTTTTCATGACTATTGGAAATGGGATCCTTGATAATTTATTTTTAGCTTATTTTTACTTTCTCGCTCCCATAGGGTAGAGAGGTTACTTTCTCGCTCCCATAGGGTAGAGAGGAAGTATTGTCATCCTCCAAAAAAAAAAAAAAAAAAAAAAGTTGAAATTTCATCATTTCTAGACGTTTTAAGGTCCCAGGAGTAAAAATAACCATACTTGAAAAAATGTGTGTCCGTCCGTGTGGCGTCCCCCAAATCTGTCTACAGCGATATCTCAGAATCTATCTGTTCGATTTCATTCANGCCGGCGCGAAGCGCCGGTACGCGGCGCTTGCGCCGCGCATAAATTGGCCGGAGGCCAATTTTTTATGTTACTTTCAGCGAATGAGACCATGAGCTGCTTAAATAAGCGTGAATCTTGTAAAACTTGACGCAATGACATTACTTGAGGACTGAGGAGGAGGAGGGGGGGGGGGCTCCACAGTCCCATCGCCGCACTGAGGTTACCAGATTTTCTTCATTTTCCTCTAATATCGTTTTTCGTTCATGTTAATTGGTTTCTCGCAATTGCATAGGTACTGAGACATACGGAACATTCCGACAATGTTCTTTTCTCTTCTTTTTTCCTCCAGCCAGTCAATAGACGTTATCATTTTTCAAACTCCCCACTCTTTCAGTTATTCAACAAATGTGCGTATTTCAAAAAATAGAACAATATATTAAAAAATGAATGATAAAAAAGAAGATATCTGAATACTATCGCTTCTTTTTATCGAGTTAAACTTGAAGATTAGTATTTGAAATTACCACAAGACATAAAAAATGGAATGAGCAGTAAAAAAAATCCATGTATATTATCTTTCATTTTGTTCCATGGAGTTTGGAGTGGAGTTGGTAACATTTGTATTGAAAAAATATTAATATAGGAGGAAATGTATTTATCATGCAGGTTCTGATCCTTTAAAGAACCTGTGAGAGGGACCGGTACCTCAGGAAGAAATTCATTGCATTTCTTCTTTTTCAACCCGCAAATCTCGTACCGATTTTTTATTTGTATGGAACTCATGTAAAA